ATTGCGATTATGTATTATCGCGTTGCGAAAGTCAGAATCGCGTTGCGAAAGTCAGTATCGCGTTGCGAAAGTAAGTATCTCGTTGCGATTTTGTATTATCGCATTGCGATAGTCAGTATCGCATTGCGATTTTCCCAATTCGCGTTGCGATTTACTTATTCGCATTGCGAATTGGGAAAATCGCAACGACACTGTAGACAATCGCAACGCGATTTTCAACTATCGCATTGCGAAAATGCAACGCGAATTTGCGATAATGGAGATCGCGTTGCGAATTAGCGATCGCATTGCGATTTTGTTGGTCATTTTGACAAATCCAAAAAAAATTGGTTAAAATCGTATATTATATGAGATTTTTGGTCACTGAGTTTATTTTCTCCTTTTGAAAATTAGGTTTCCAACGAATGACTAGTATTTAGGGCTAACAGACGTCAGACAATTGTGAGAGAGACAAATATGAGAAAGAAAATTGATGTAAACGAAGAAAATGCAATGATACTTATCTGAAAAGGACAAGACTTAATGATATATTCAGTAAGATATAAATAGATAACATTTACACCTAAGAATGATGAAAACAAATGGTAAATATATCTTCATTCATGAGAGATTTGATTACACCACATATTTAGTAGATAATAAACTAAAAATTATTATATTAAAATATTTAGGTTTAAAATTTATAAGTTTTTTTTAAAAAAATCCGAAAATTATTAAAATTCTAAAAAAAAATTAAAAATAACATTTAATAAGGCTATGGTTAAATATTAATTAATTAAAAATTATTAACTAATGATCAAATGAGTGAATTGATAAAATTTTCATAATATAGAATTTTAACTAAATGCAAAATTTTTAAAATTTTAATTATTTATAAAAACAAATTCAAAAACTTTCGATATCTTAAAATTAAATATTTAATATATTAATATAATATAATTTCATATAGGGTAAATTACACATTTAATACTTAAACTATCATTTTTTTGTTTTGATACCTAAACTTTCATTTGTTTTAAAACTACATCTAACGTTTATTTTTTTGTTTCGTTTTGGTATCTGACCAGGAACTGTTGTATGTACCTTTTTTATTGGTAAATTATATCATTTATCACTCAATTATCTTTTCACTCCTATTTTGATCACTGAAGTTCAATTTTTTAATTTAATTACTTAACATTCAAATCACTCTTAATTTAATCACTATAACTTTCAAATTTTTTTAATATAATTATATATTAATAAAATAATAATAAAAATATCATGTCACATAAATTATTAATAAAATAAAATAGAGTGATTAAAATGAGTAATTTGAAAATTCAATAGTCAATTTAAAAAAATTAGACTTTAATGACTAAAATAAGAGTGAGAAGATAGTTGAGTTTGTTAAGTTTTTAATGGCGAAATATTAAAACAAAAAAAAAAGTAAAAGCTAGGTCTGATTCTAAAACAAATGAAAGGTTAGATACTAAGAAAACATAAAATTAATAGTTTAAGTAATAAATGTGTAGTTTACCCTTTTATATTCTATCATTAAATAGTTAAAAGATAAATTTAATTTTAAAATTTATAATAAATTAATAATTTTAATGTTTAGCAGGAAAGTTGTATAAATAAAGCACTGAAACAAGCAAAAGAGAAATGCAAATCCTCTTAATAATTTAGAAAATAGAGAGAACAAGCTGATAGGGAATGCAGAGAGATGAAAAGAGCATTGCTGAGAAGGCCTGAACTGTGCCGGCACGGTAAACGCTCCGTCCGCCGCCGTGACTGCCACCGTAAACACGTTGAAGACGGGTGAATATCGTGTACTCTCTCAAAAAAAAACCCCCACATCTCTGCTTTTGACCCCCTCTTTCTTTTCGTTATCTAAAAAAGGCTTTATTTTTATTGTTTTTATGGGCTGTGTTTACTGTTTCTCGACAAAAATGGCGGATAAAGCTACTAAAAGCGATAACCCCCTTTCTTCTTCACGGAAAGTACGAGCTCGGTCGTATGTTGGGTCATGGAACCTTCGCGAAAGTGTACCATGCCCGGAACATCCAAACGGGGAAGAGCGTCGCCATGAAAGTCGTCGGCAAAGAGAAGGTTATTAAAGCCGGGATGATGGAGCAGATAAAGCGAGAAATCTCGGTCATGAAGATGGTGAAGCACCCCAACATAGTCGAATTACACGAAGTGATGGCGAGCAAAACCAAGATTTACTTCGCCATGGAACTCGTCCGCGGCGGAGAACTCTTCACGAAAGTCGCCAAGAGCCGCCTCGAGGAAGACACGGCGAGAGTTTACTTCCAACAGTTGATTTCCGCTGTCGATTTCTGTCATAGCCTCGGCGTTTACCACCGGGACTTGAAGCCGGAGAATCTGCTGTTGGACGAAGATGGGAACTTAAAAGTTACGGATTTTGGTCTCAGTGCTTTCACCGATCACTTGAAACAAGATGGATTGTTACACACGAGTTGTGGAACGCCGGCTTATATCGCCCCCGATGTTATCGGGAAGAAAGGATACGACGGTTCTAAAGCAGACATCTGGTCTTGCGGCGTTATCCTTTATGTACTTCTCGCCGGATTCTTACCGTTTCAAGACGATAACTTGATCTGCGTGTATAGAAAACTTTACAGAGGAGATTTCAAGTGTCCGCAATGGTTTTCACATGAAGCTCGTCGGTTAATCACTAAGCTTCTAGACCCGAATCCCAAAACCCGAATCACCATCTCGAAGATCATGGACTCATTTTGGTTCAAAAAATCAAAACCCAAAATCGTTAAATCCAAGGAAGAGTTCGAATTCGAATGTTTCAACGGCGACAAATCATCGAAGCCGGAAACGCTGAACGCCTTCCATATAATTTCTCTATCGGAGGGATTCGATTTGTCGCCGTTGTTCGAGGAGAAGAAGAGAGAAGAGAAACGCGAACTGAGATTCGCGACGACGGAGCGGGCGAGCAGTGTGATATCGAGACTTGAAGACGTGGCCAAATCGGTGAAGTTCAGCATCAAGACGAGCGAGTCGAGAGTGAGGTTGCAGGGTCGGGAATGTGGGAGGAAAGGGAAATTGGCGGAGGTCACCGATATATTCGCGGTGACGCCGTCGCTGTCGGTGGTGGAAGTAAAGAAAGGCAACGGTGATACGCTCGAGTACAATCAGTTCTGCAGTAAGGAGCTCCGACCGGCGTTTAAAGACATCGTCTGGACGTCGGCCGCCGACAACTCGACATTTGTTTAATGATGTTTGTTCTTGTTATAGTTTTTGATGGAATTTGGTAACAGAGGTTGTTCTGTATATACTTGGAAGTTTTATCAATTTATAGTAACGTTTTTTACGTCTAATTGTGGTATTGCCCCCTCTCCTACCTCGGGTGTGGAATTTAATCCCATACATCAATTCGATTCTTTATTATTCTCAATCCTTATATTGAACAAATTCATCATTCAATATAGTATCTTTTAATTTTAAAAATAACAATTAAGTTTAAATTTAATATCTTTTAATTATTCTAAAAATACTTTTAGTCGCTATAATTTTAATAACCTTTTAAAATTTTATAATATTTATTATAAAACAAGAATATAATATTATTATATGACTATAAGTTAAACAAAAATGTTATTATAATTTTTAAATATTTTCATTTTTTATGGAATTAATATAATCCTTAATTTCTATTTCCATTTTAACTTTTACATTTTATTAATATAATCCTTAATTACAGAAGTTTACCAATTACAGCAACATATTCCCGCAACATAGAAATTAGAAAAATAATAGAAATTAGAAAGTGGTGGGGGGGGGGGTGGCGTTTTCCAATTTTAGAGATGACGATGTTTGATTCCCCCCCCCCCCCAATTATTGGCCTACAAATCAATTCAACCAAAAAGAAGCCTCCATCGTTGAATCCTTTAAAGGATAACCTCATTCTATGGTGGGAACTAATACGGGGGTCCCTCGATTGCTCATTGCATTACAGTTACTGTGTTTGCCAGTTAAGGGTGTTTTGTCTGTTTTCAAGGGCGCCTAACCCTTGTGGGAAAGGGACAACCCTACGATTTCCATACTGAGAATGTTAGACTATAGCAAGGTTTACTGTGTACGTGTTTGCATTATAGTGTAACTAGCAATAGTTAGTTAGCATTGGGCGCCAAAACTTTTAGTCTATTAGCTTAACAGATCCTTCAAGTGGAGTCCTAAAATATGTATTAAACACATCCTTCACTATACACAGTTTTTCAATAGAGAATGCCAAATTGTTACAGCTAAATTGCAAGTGGAGTCCAACAGTCTGCTGCTGCTGCTGACTGGTTTGGATAAAACCAAGTTTTTTTATTCATATGAAGGTGAAAACCACTCACTAGTGATTATGACAGTTCACTCTTTTTGATTTGGACGAAAAATTGTAATCAGTGTTTTCATGAAGGAGTTAGAGAGAGGTAACCTAGATACGATGATAATTATATCAATTGACAGATCGAGGAGCCAACAATCATGCATGGTAACGTATATACTGATCTTTAGTGTTGGTATCATTCTTATGATGACTATACGTGAGTCTAGCCATGGTTATGTTAAGAGACCATGGTTGGTTGGAGAATATGAAAATCAATAGATTTCCGAGTACTACAGGAATTTCGATCAACGGAGGAGTTCCTCCAAAGGTTTCTATTGGCAAAGGTACGGCTTGTGAAAGAAATCCGGAGGAAATACAACACGAGTATATCCTATACTTGGAAAAACACAACCAAAACCATAACCAAGATACGACATTCAACATCATCATCATAAAACCATAACCAAAGGCGCAAAATACGTGCTCACCTGAATTAATAAGGCAAACTACAAGATTCATATCGAAACACAACTAAAATGTAACATTCAACTTTTACAACATACTGATTATACAAAAATATAACTATTTTTGTATATAATTTAATCAAAATGTTCATCAGAAAGTACCCATGGGCTATGATGGTGGATTTTAAGACTACTGAAATTCTTCATTTCTTCTTCTTTTGACCCTAATCCGGTACCTCAAGCCCGTCGGAGGTCCGTTCCTTACTATTCTAGTGATTTCGAAGAAGACTCCATTTTCAATATCTCGCATACCAAATGAAATGCAGCCAGTCAGCATATTGATACATGACAATTTCTTTTTCTTTTGCTTTCTCTCACAAATTATAAAACACACATTTGAGCTCATAACATTAAGTTAAAAACTGAGGTGTTCACTGAAGTTATCAAACCGAAAAGGAAAGTATAAGATAGAAGTACCAAATTAGGCTACTTAGGACGTGGTTCTCGACAGCAGACATATCTTCACAACGATCATCTACAAAAGTTGCTCAGTTAACGGAAGGCATGAAAGTGTATGCACGCAGAGATGGCCAGAATTCAAGCAAAAGGCACTTGAAGGAATAAAATTTAGCAACATTTCTTCCCGAAGAAACAAATAAGCGCCGCTAAATTCGAGCACTTTGTGGCGTTCCATTAACAAAATGCCACTGTACCGTTGCGGCATCGCCAATAACTATGCTTGTTTATTAACAGAATCCACTAAAAGTGGACAAGGAAAATGGAATCAATCGACAATTTCATGATCTGAACATATATGTACAAGCACAAGGCCATCTTTTTATCAAGTCCCAACCAAAAGTTGCATCTTAGCATGACCATCAGTATGCTCCCTTTGTCGGGTTCTCTCGAAATTAGTTACTTTTCATATCTAAATTAACATCATATGCATGAAAATGTTTACAACAATTTATCAAACAACAAAGTACCATTCAAATCGAATTAAATGATCCCAAAGTCGATGATATCAGTGGAATTCAATCGTACATTACGAACAAAGAATCCATTATCACTAACTAATGAACTCAAAAGGGTACTAGTATCAATGCTCAAACAGCAAATGTTAAATCATTAGCAGCTGCAATTTAACCAGTATATAGGCTCAAAACTCTCCTTTTCCAATATAGAGAAATGCATTATTGTCTAGATTAACTACCAAACTCTCAATTAAACTAATAAAACCTGGAAAAAAATCAAAGAGTTTCTGCAAAATAACACATTAACCATGACAAGCTTGAAGAAAATTGAAAAAAAAAGGCGACGATACCTTGATCATTAACCCGAAACAGATACAGTTCCTTGCCTCCCAAATCCAAATAAAGTGCTGTATAAAACAATTGCAAACTAACAAACCTTCAACAATCTAAAATTGAAGCAAAATCGATAACAATTCAACCATGAACGTGCAGTAATGGGAATTTTCCTGCTACAGACTTTCAACAATAAAAAGGTTATAGTGTGCATATATTTGTCGGAAATAAGAAAATGATAAGTTCATATAGTGCCAATAATTTTCAGCAACTCCAAAGGAAACATCAAAAAATAACAGTCAAATCCAGGGCTATCCCAAACACTAAAAGTCTCAGTGCTTAGACAATTAAAAAAAGTAACCCAAAATCAGAATAAAAAACACCAATATTTTTTTCTCTATCATTTTTTCTCGGATAGAATACTACAAAAGCCCCGAAACTGTGCACACAAAGAGAAGGTCTTTCATTATACCTTGCATGGTTTCCCAGGAAAAAAATGAAGACCAAGAGGGTTTTAAACAGGGAAGAATAAAACTTTCCAAGATAATCCATATGGTATTTCGTTAACGTGAGAACAGTATTCAGGTGTACCTTCAAAGACAGGACCATCAAAAGTTGTGCTTTTTTTTTTCGCTTTCAAACCTCTCCATCAATCCATGAATTCTTTGTTGTATTTTAATACTACATAATAATATTCCCAAAAAGAGCAGCAACAAAACACATCAATTAACAACGCAAAAATGGAATACTAAAAGACAGATTTAACACACACAAATACATATACTTAAACCCCAAATTGAAACAGTAAATATAGCTCACGATCATATGCTTACTGTGCTTTTAATTTGTTTGCCAACAACAACATGAATCTTCCACTCTATCTGAAGCAAATGGAGAGCTTGTGTGTAAAAACAAGATGGGTTTTGATGATGTGATAAGAACAACAACCAAAAGAAGAAGAAGAAGAGGCTGCCTAGGGAAAACAACATGTGGCTAAAAGGGTGAAATTAATGGCTGACAGAAGAGAGGTGAGCACACGGCGGGCAAAGATATGAGCTTTCATTCTATCTGCCTGCGTGTGCTCACTCTCTCCTGTCAGGTCATCCCTCTGAATTACCATTATTAGCTTAAAATGAACTACCTGCAAAACAAAGAAAAACAACCCCAAGAATGTAAATAAAAGCTGAAATCATAGCCAAACCAGCTGTTGTTGCTGCTGTTTCTATATTAAGAGAAAAGACCATCAATCTTCCTCCTTTGAGAGACTCAACACACAGATCTGGAGAAAATCTTATGAAATTATAAATGGGAGTAGGTCAAAAGAGTTAGGGTTTTCTTTGTATTTTTTTTTCAAAACCATCACATCAAACACCCTCCCTCCCAGCTCCCCTTGTCCATATATGAATTCGGGGTTTAAAAAGTTACTTTAGGCTTAAGGATAAATTACTCTATTGACCATTTAAATATTATCAGATTTTATTTTGATTACTGATTTTTAATTTAAACAAGCCTATCATTAAATTATTTAAATATTTCAATCAAATTATCTAACAATAAGATTTAACGAAACAAATGATGTGATAATTAAAATATTTTTGTATAATTGCATAATTGATTTATGTTATTTATATATTCTCTTAATTTGATCTTAATTTTAATAAATTAAAATAAATTTAATTCTTAAATTAGGTGATCATGTGTCATTGGTAAAAGATATCACTGATTGAAAAAAATAAATTAACACACAAGGATACAAGGGGAACATAACAAAAGAACACCTAAGTAACGTAGCAAGAGCTAAACCATTTAGCCAAAACAATAATTTAGTATAGTTTAGACAACAAATAATATATATCATCTATCTTAATATGTAAATATTTTACTCAAAATTAATAATATTTTTTATATCTTAAATTTTAAAAATATATTTTATTTTTGTCTTAACTTATTAAATATATTATATTTTTCAATGTAAAAAAATATATTTTATTTTTATCATCGTTTAAAAATATATATTTTTTATCTTAATTTTAATATTTTTTAAATATATTAATTTAAAATATATTTGAATATTTTATTCTTATTTTAATATATATATATATATATATATTCTTATCTTCATTTAAAAATATATTTTATTTCTATTTTAAATTAAAAATACATTTTATTATTACCATAACTTTTAAAAACGTATTTTTAAAACATATCAACTTTAAAATATTTTTTAACTTAAGAATAAAATATATTTTAAGTTAAGAAATTTAAAAAAATAAAGTTAAGATTAAAATAAAATATATTTTTAAGTTAAAAATAATCAAATATATTTTTATGTGAAAAATAAGCATAAACATATTTTATATATTAAAATAAAAATAAAATATATTTAATAAGTTAATACAAAAATAAAATATATTTCTAAAAGTTAAGAATATAAAATATTATGAATTTAAAGTAAAGTGTTTATATACTAAGGGTTATTTTGATATAACTTTTGAATAGTGACTTTTAAAAATGTTATAGAAATTAACTTTTAAAAGTAATGCACAAAAGTATACTTTAAAATTTAATTTTTTGACAATACTATTAAAAAGTGAGTTTAAAAAGATAAAATGTCCATTATAGACATTATGTTGTAAATTAAAAATATATCATTTAAATTATATTTACACTTATATATATATATATATATATATGAATCATATCAATTTAAAATATAATAAAAATATAAAAATACAAATACAAATAAAAACATAATTATAATAAAAATATGTTTTTATACAAATAACTATTAATATTTTTATATATAAATCATGGATTTTATTTATTTTTAAATAACTAAAATAAATTATTAAAAGTAATAAATTATTTTTAAGGATGTTAGTATTAAATTATTAAAATAAAATGTAAATACATAATTGAGTGGAGTTCATGCATTATTAAGGGTAAATGTAATACCCCAAAATTTTGGTTAGTGACCAAAATGTAAATTTTAAAAGTTTTGGGGCCAAAGTATAAAATTGGGAAGGGACCTAAGTGGTAATTTTTTCAAAAAAGAATTTTTATTTCATAAATGGATAGTTTATTCTTTAGAGTGTGGTTTTTATGGAAAACAGGTTCTTGATCCAGAAATTGTGTTAAAAACTAGAAAGTGTTAAAGTCCGATAAAAATTCGGTAAATTAGATCGAATATAAATTTTGAGAAAAATTGAAGGAGGACAAATTAAGCTTAGAGATATTATTTCCACATTTTAAAATGATGAAAAATAATATGAAGTATTGGATTTGAGAAATAACTTCCATGTTCAATTTGGACCATTTTATGAAAAATGACAAGATTGAAATTTCGGAAAAGTTGCATGGGCAAAGTTGTAAAGGGTAAATTAATTTCTTTATATTTGACTTTATAAAGATGATAAGGTTTATGTAGATTGGTATGAATGTAATTATCAAGTTTCATCGATGATAAAAATTGTCATTTCTCATTAAATGAATTTTATATTCATTTACGCTTAAATACATGATAAATTAACATGCAATTAACTAAAATTTCATGAAAATTTGGTCATCTTTCTCCTCCATTTTGCGGCCTTCATACTCTAGGTAAGAGAATTTTTATTTTTATTTTTTAAGCCAATTTTTTAGGTTTTTGGATTAAGACGTGAAATAGAAAATTGTTATTTTCGATGAGCTTTATCATTTGGTACCAATATTGCATGTTAATCTTGCTTGATCTCAAAGATCCCAAATTCCAAGGTTTATGTTCATGTTAGGGTTTCATGAATTGATGATGGTTTTTGACGTTTTTGAGGCTGTAAAATCATTTTCAAGCTTGATTAATGATCAAATCATGATCTAACCTCTTAAAAATGGATCTATGATTTTTGGCCTAACCGTAAAATTAGGGGAAGTTTGTGTTTTAATGAAATTTGATTAGGGGTTTTATTATAGAGATTTTTTTCAATGTTGAATAGAGGTTGATTTCATGCTTGAATCGAATAGAAATCAAGTTAAATCATGAAAACCCTAATCTTGAATGTTCAAAGTATTCGACCTAGGCTATTGAGGGTGAAATAAATATGGAAAAAATATGTATGGGCTGGAAATGATGTAGGAAATATTCTACAAGCTTTAGAAAAAAAATTGAGGATCATTTTGTAATTTTTGAAAAGTTGGAGGACCTTTCAAAAAATTATGAAAAGGTTTTGGATTAATGTGTAAATGTAAAATAGTTGATGTACTATGCTGGAAATTAATGTTTTAGTGTTGAAATTGAAGTTAGGATGTGAAATTGGATTATTTTGAGAAGTTGGTAAAAGTTGAGGTTCAAATCACAAATATGGAAAAGTGAGGATTTTAAGTGAAAATGTTATGTGAAATTTAGATAAAAATGAATTTGATTGGTCAATTAGAAGTGTTAAGGTCAACATTTATGTTGTGACATGGAATTTGTATCAAATGAGCATCGGAAGATTTTTAGGAATTTATTTTCTAATGTGTACCTATGTTAGATTCTAACATATGGTTTGACTTTGTATATTAATGATGCTCATTAGATTGTGTGCTTGAAATCAAGATCAAACATTATTAAAGCTAAGGAGAGGCTTAAGGATGAAATGTGAATCTCTAAGGAAGGTTTACAAGCTAAGGACACATGGTGAGTGCAAATTTAATTTGTACTTATATTATCAAACAAACATTGGCTTGTAATGAGCCAGTGACATAGTTACTATGGTAAGAAGTGATTCCTAATTGTTATATGTTTGTGGTTCATGAATATATGTGCATTTGGTGAGCTAATAGAATTAGTGAATAAGATGAAAATGCAAATTGGTGAAGTTTGCCTAGAAATTTAAGTTTTGGACAGTAGGTTTAGAAAATCACCATAATTTCTATATAAATTTTATACCTTATGTGTCATAATTAATTCATCACTCTAGTGTGCAAGGACACTGAGTATTAGTATTTGACTCAAGTACCGAGGGTCTTCATAAGTTTATATTTGGGATATGGTTTATTGGTTAATAAATGATAAACAAGTGAATAAACTTAAGAGCTTATGGAATAAATGACAAGTATATTGGTAAGAAATTTTGTATCCAGTTTATATCATGTTAGTATTTGATAACATGGTTGGAAATCAAGTAAATCGAGCATAATGCATTGAATATTTTCACTCATTACATTTATGTGTTGCATTGCTTTAAATATTTCTATGATTGCCTCACTAAATGTATACTTAGTGTGTGATGATTTTCACGCGTAGGTAAAAGAAAGCGAGAGGAGTAAGGAACTGAGCTTGACATCAATCACCGAGGGATAATTACATGTAACAATGATGACATCATATTGTGTTCTAAATTCTCTAGCTGGAATGTATACGAGTAAGAAATATTTGGAAATTTATAAATATGGTTAGTAATTAATATAATTAATAGTTTGAATAAATATTTTGATATTAAACTATGTTTTAAATATTAATTGATTGGATGTTAATCAGACAGTTATATACATTTTTACTTATTATATGAAACAGAGTAGAACTATCTGTTATTGCCTGAAACAAGATTTGAAATAGAAGTCGAAATGTTGTAATTTGATTTTCTCTGATTAATTATTTTAATATAAATGGTTACAAATATGGAATTCCTAAAAGAAACAAAATTTTATCTATTTTGGGTTTAGGAATGTTTTGAATATTTGATGTACATCTTTAACTTGTAAGAATACAATATAAGGGTTAATGGTATTACAGTAAAATTATAATTTTCTTCCAAACGCAAAGTTGAAAATGAAAAAGTTAGAAATCCTAACTTTTGCAATTGGTTTAAAACCACTGTTTCCATTGTAATTTTTTTTTTCATTTTTACCCATTTGATATTAATTTTACGATCAAAACGAGCTTACTCGCTAAAAGTGCTTTTAGAAAGCATTTTCAAATGAACCCGAATATACATGATATATATTATTTGTTGTCTAAATTATGCCAAATGGTTGCTTTGGCTTAATGGTTTGGTGCCTGCCACATCACCTAGGGGTCCTTGGTTTGATTTCCACTTGCCCCTTTTTGCATTGATTTATTTTTTTCAACTAGAACATGACATGTGTCACCATATGATCAGAGAAAAATAAAGCTATTTTAACTTATTTAAATTAGGACCAAATTAAAAGAATATATTAATAACATGGACCAATTGTGTAATTATACCAAAATTTCTCAACTGTTATGTCACCCTACTAGGGATGTCAAACAGGCGGGTCGGGTGCGGATACCCTCTCCCACATCCCCATACCCACCTAATATTTTTCAATCCACCACCCGCCCACCACCTATGATGGGTAAAAATTTTC